GGGAAAGGGCCAAATAAGAGACGCAGGGCTTGGGTCTGATGAAGAAAAAAATTGTTAGGGAATAATTCCTCGCCTCTCCGCAATTTTAAGGAGAAGCAACTGTTCCAACACAGAGTCCCTATGTTGCCGAGATCCAGCAATCAGTCAACAGTGGGAGAATCAAAGATTTCAGACACAGCCAAACCTTCAAATTCTTGCTACACACACAAAAAAAATGCAGTAATGTTTGTGTCTTAATGAGCATCCTATCCAGACTATTATTACTATACTGAGAGCAGCTAAGATGGGGGCAGTCGCCAAATCAGGCTTAAAGTTTGCTTTTCAAAATCCAGGCTCTGGAAATAAAGTATTTATTATATATATGTTAACAGGGCAAAAGGAACTCCCCCCCCCCAAAGAAATCAAAGGATGTATTTGATCCAAAGCTCTGGAAACCCGGCTAAAACGCAGAATGCCGTAGACAAACACCACTTTATAGCTGCCCTTCTTGTAAGTCTACCTTTAAAATCTATCTAGAATATATATTTCATCCTCAGTTTTACTTTGGCTCATATTTACCTGACGCCGAGCTTTCTGGATACTTGACATGATTGTCCCTCAACATAAAAAAAAAAAATAAGATTTATCTGCAGGAATGCCAAATGCTTCAGGTCACAGAGACAATGAGATGCAGGGATTGCAAAGAATATTTGGAGCAAGGGGAACAAAAACTGCAGGAAAACAGTATCCTCCCCGTGAAACAAGTCAGAAGCAACCTAGAAAAAGGGAGGTCTCTCTCTCAAGCAGCCCCTGAGATCTGGTGCACGTTGTGTTTTAGGGAATAACAACATAGCAAGGTGCCGTTTTTGCTCTTTTCTCTGGAATATTGGATTCCCAGACTTTCACTAGTCGTCTCCCGGCCAAAAATGGACCAGCGCAAAACTTATTTTTTTTTTTCTGAGAGCATCAGAATCAGGGCACTGCTGCTCCTTAGCTGGATTTAAATTAGAAGTGAGGAAGAGAAGAAGGTCAACTAGACAGAGCAAAAAACCAAAACAAAACAGGAAGGAAGGAAAAAATTTAAATTTAAACCCCGGAGAAGTTAATTAAAAGCACAATCTCTCTCTCTCTCTCTCTCTCTCTCTTTTTGTATCATGCAGCGGGACCAAATGGGGACCCTATTTTAGACAGTGTCAGCTTTTTTTAGCCTATTTGTTGTTGTTTTTTTCCTTATAATGCCGAAGGAGAGACTGCAAAGCAAAGCCCGGCAAAAGAGACCCCCCACCCAGTTCTCCAGAGAAGCCACAATGTGTGTGATCCCAGCGGCGTTCGCAAGGAAGCAACACCCAAGGATCTGGCCCCACGCAGAGTTGCGCACTGCAAAAATAATAATAATAATTTTGCTTTCAGCCCAACAATGATATGGAAAAATCACTCAAGGCAACCAGACCTAGAACAGGGTCCTGAAACACTGGAAAAAGGCTTTTTCCACCCAACTTCCCCAGCCCCACAACTTGCAATAAAGTCATCTCACCCTTGACTTGATCTTTTGATAGCTTCAAAAGGAAATAGAGGAGCGTTAACTCACTTGCCCAACGCCTCCGAGGAGATTCCCAGAGATCCAAGGATCCGGATCTGAAGTTGCATTTTAGCAAGCCTCAAATTCTTTTCTTCAAAATGAACCGTTTCCTGCCCTTCTCCGAGGCTAGAAAGAAACCAGCCAGAGGAAGCACAAATCTGCATGAGAACACAACAGCTAAAAGAACACCTGCAACACAAAACAAAACAGCAGAGACAGCTTTGTCTCCTAACACACACAAAAAGAGAAAGCAGCTTTAGAAAGAAACTGTTTTAAAACCTGCACAAACTCAGCTGTTGTCTCCCCACCACCATTTACAGCATTTGTAAAAAAAGAACCGGCAACAGGTGAATGGCAAAGAAATCTAATTTGGACTTCACCTTGATAATACAATATTCTGTTCCTCCCTCTTATTCCGAGGAGCCACGGAGAGGACTCCAAAACTGCTTGGATCAAGCCCATTTTTATTTTTATTTTTGGTCCATGAATTCCTCATCCGGCTGTTCCCCAAAGGAGCTGATCTTAAGCCCCACACGTGGAAATAAATCTCCAAATTCGTTAGATATTTTCTTTTCCTAGGAGGAGAAATTTTGAAGCACCCTAAGATCAACTAGGTTTCTCCCAGATTTGCTGCCCTTTTCTCCAGCAAAATCTTTTTTTAAAAAAAAAAAATTAAGATTTTCTTTTTCTCACCCTACCCTATAATCAATTTTCTGGGGTATTTTCTGTAAAGGAAGCAGAGTGTGATTTAATGGGTTGAAAACACGCAGTTTAAAATATCCACACACCTTCCAGCATCTAAAATATTACATTTACCGGTTTGGAAAGAAGGTCCCCTCCCCCGTGGATGAATTATAGCCCACACAGTATTTTTAAACTCTGCAAAAATGATTTAAAAAAAGAGGATAAACTGCTTAGCTCAGAAGCTGGAGGGGAAAAAAAGTCATTTATTACCATTTAAAATAAATACTTATGAGCAGTACTGTGCTGTAATAAAAGAAGCAGCCAAAATGGTTAAATAGGAAGCGAGATTGTTCTTTCACCAAATTCTTTCTAATGAGATACAAACAGGATGAGATTTGATCAAAAAGAGGACTTGCAGATTAGAAGAAATATATATATTTTTAAAAGGTGCATTTTCATATTACTTCATACCAAAAGTAGCTACAATGCATAAGCAGAATGGAATACAGATATTCACAAAGTTGTTTTAAAATGTTCTTTCCGTGTTTAAAAGCTGCAGGGTAGCGCTGCAAAATTTGCCTGGCTTCGTCTAAAACAAACGTTTCTTAATAGAAAACTGAATCCATGTATAAATCTTACCAAAAGGAAAGGGATACTTAGATAAAGCTGAGAGGGAAAATTTAAATATTGAAGGTGATCTGAAACAGAATCTACAGAAAACCATAGGAAAAAAAATCAAAAGAAATCCACGTAGCAAATGCAAGACTATCTATTTTGCTAGATAATTTTTGAACTAAAGCTCTTTCAATTTCATCTGTCCAGCCTTGCAGAAAATTTCAAATATTCTCTAAATCTCTGGGTTCTTTCCAGAGGCTAGAATTATGCAGACTCAAAACATTTTCTCTCTGGAAAAAAGCAAAACAGAATTATTTCCCCCCCCCCCCCCCCCGTGCTTTCTCCTCCTCAGACAACTGAGAGACGCAAAGCAGATTTAGAAAAATTAGAAAAATTAGAAAGGGAAGACAAAGGGATATATGTCTAAAGAGATTTATTATTATTTTTTGTTTCGTAGCAAATGAAAGCTAGGATGCCTGAACACAAACAGAAACAGTTCATGACAAATAAACAAAAAATATATTTATCTATATATAAATATTAAGTTGGTTTGAGGTTGTAACTTGCCTGCATGGCTCAAAAGCAGGATGTGGAAAAAGAAAAAGAAAAACAATAAAGATTAAGAACTGAATCAAAAGCTTCAGAGGAAATCGATTTTACCTAGATGAAACTGTTAAAAACCACAAAAATTGAAAGGTTCATTTTAAAAAAAATGCACCAGTTTCCAAAATCTCACACAAATTGTGCCGGGCTTTTGAGAAACGCCCCCATTACTCATTTAGCATCCTTATTCCCTTTACGATTTCATTTTTTCTTTTTTTCTTTTTAAAATAAACGTTGAAAAACAACAATATCCCCCGAAATCCAGTTTCAGTAAAGTGAATTTCCCCTGGAAAAGCATCCAACTGCCAAGATTTTTCCGTGGGGGTTAATTCTGCAATAAATAAAGTGTGCATTTTTATCAACCAAGGTTCCGACTTGCGTTTCACACGCTCCCTTGAAATTTAATAAATAATTCTGGTGCATAGTATTTGTATTAACATCAATATAGCAGCAGTTCATATAAGTCATCTATTGCCTTTTCAAATCACCTTTAAGTAAGGAGAGTTTAAATTTTTTTTTTCTTCCCCTCCCCCCCCCTCTCCCAATAATCGTTTTAAACAGCATAGATAATTTTTTTTTTAAATCTCTATAAAACAAACAGCATTATTATTATTTTTTTTAATCCAATCGATTACTGTATATAGTGCATTCGGCTCTGTCAACATCGTCGTTAAATTAATGCTTTATATTAGTTGCATGCTATTACATACAAACTTTCATTAAGACTCGTGTTTCAAGTTCGTTTTTTGTTTTTTTTTGTGTGTGTTTTTTTCCCTTTTCATTTAAACACCAAGCAAAGGAAGGGCTGGAGAAAAACCAGGGGTGGGGTCCGGGGGGAGTAGAGGGAGGAGGAGGAGGAGGGGGGGGTCAAAGGCGACCTCTATACAAGTGGACACTTTTAATAATAAGTTAATTGGCTCAGTTCCCCGTCTTTAAAAAAGGACGCACAGACACACAACCAGGGATTAAGGGGAAAGGGACCGGGGGGGGGGGGAAGATTAAAAAGGCAAGTAAACTCAACCCAGCTTCCGAGGCCGAACAAAGCCGAGTCCCCGCCGGCAAAGAGGCGCCGGGGCCGCCCCGTCGAAAGAAGAAGAAGAAGGAGCCAGCGAGCCAGACGGACGGGCGGACGGGCGGAGCAGGGCGCCCCGTCGGGGAGGCGAGGCGGGCTAAATCCCATACATGGCCGGCATGCAGGAATGCTCGGAGGGGTTCCGTCGGGGCAGGAGGAGCGGGGAGGCTCCGTCGAAGCGTCCCTGGCCCGGCTGGTCCAGCGTCGAGCGGCTCCTATCCGTCCGTCCGTCCATCCAGGCGGCGGGGTCCAGTCTCTCTCCGTCCAAGGCGGTCCGGGCGAGGCGGACCGTCGAAGAAGAGGGTCCACGTCCAGGCGGACGTCCAGGCAGCCAGACCGACCGACCGACCGACCGACCGGTGGGCTGGCAGGAGGGTCCCCCCTTCCCTTCCCTTCCCATCCCAGCGCTGCGCCCTCGTCCTCCCAGGAAAGCCCCCCTCGGTCCTCGCCGTCGAGGCCCGGCCGCTCTCACAGGAAGAAGTCCGCGGGCTTGGCGGGGGCCGGCGGGGGCGGCGGCGGGGGCTCCCGGGGCCCGTTGGGGCCGTTGGGAGGGAAGGCGCGCCCGGCCAGCTTCTCGTACTTCTCCTTGTAGAGGTCGCGCTCCTTGGCCAGGCGCGCCACGTCGAGCTTCAGCTGCTCCACCTGGCCCTGCAGCTGGCACTTCTCGTTCTCCAGGATGTGCCGCTGCTGGACGCGCTTGTAGCGGCAGGACTGGGCGTAGCCGCGGTTCTTCAGCGTGCGCCGCTTCTGCTTCAGGCGGATCACCTCCTCCTTGCTGAAGCCGCGCAGCTGCCGGTTCAGCTCGCGCACCGACATGGAGACCAGCTGCTCGTCGGAGAAGCGCTCCTCCAGCCGCGCCTGCAGGTGGTGGTGGTGGTGGTGCGCCGGGTGGTGGTGGTGGTGGTGGCCGCCCCCGGCCCCGTGGTGGTGGTGGTGGTGATGGTGGTGGTGGGGGCCCAGCGGCGGGTGCGCCCCCGCGGAGCCCGGCGCCAGCTCCTCGCCCGGGAAGGGCTGCCCTCGGAAGCCGTCGAAGCCTCCCGGGCCGCCGTGGTGCCCGTGGGGGTGCCCGTGGGGGTGGGCGGCGGCGTTGGCGTTGTTGGCGTGGTGCGGGGCGCCGATGAGCGCCTCGACGGCGTCCTCGGGGGTCAGGTTGAGCGCCTCCGGGTTGAGGTGGTGCTGGTAGCTCGACATCCAGTAGAGATCCTCCAGCTGCGCCGCCTTGCCGGGCGCGGGGTTGTGGTGGCCGCCGTTGGGGTGGCCCCCGCCGCCGCCGCCGCCGCCGGGACCTCCCGTCGGGGCTCCCAGGCCGGCTGCCGTCTGCCCGCCGGGGCTGGCGTCGCAGAAGCTGGGCGAGGAGGGCACGGAGGAGCACGGGGTGCTGAGCGGCGTGGAGGAGAGCGAGCCCGGCGGCGGGAGGCGGTGGCAGAAGCGCTCCGCCTCGGCCGGCTCCTTCTTCACCTCGAACTTCATCAGGTCGAAGTCGTTGACGTACTCGATGGCCAGCGGGCTGCTGGGCAGCTCGGCCGCGCTCATGGCCAGCTCCGAGGCCATCTCAGGCCAGGGCCAGGGCCGCCAGCCCCGCCGACGGCCCGACGAAGGCGGCAGCCCCGCCGACCGCCCCGTCCGCCGCGTGGCTCCCCCAGCCCTGCCCCGGGGGTGGGGGGGTGGGGGGGGATGGGGGTGGCCGCTGGCCCGGCTGGGCTCCCTCGGGACGGCGAAGGGTCCCCGCTGCGGGAGGAGGAGGAGGAGGAGGANGGGAGGAGAGGAGGGGGGGAGAGAGAGGGAGGGAGGAGGGAGGCTCCCCCCAGCGGCCGCACCAGGCAAGGGTCCCCCGGCGGGGGCGGCGCTCCCCGCGCACGTGCGTGCGGAGACCCGGGAGGGTCCCCAACCGGGCGCCCGCGGCTTTACGGAGGAAGGGGTGCAGAAGAGACTGGACAGCCACTTGTCTGAACTGGAATAGGGTCTCCTGCTCAAGCAGGGGGTGGGCTAGAAGACCTCGGAGGCGCCTTCCAGCTCCATTCTGATTGACTGATTGATAGATGATTGATTGATTGAATGGACGGCTTGTCCTGGCCAGCGCCCCGGGCTGTGTCCCCACCCCGTCCCGAGCCTCCGAGGGATGGCAGCCCACTCGGGAAGCCCTTTCCGCCACGCCTCCCTCCGCCCAGGGATGGTGCGGACGGAGCCCTCCCCGAGAGCGGATCGTCCTCGTAAGTCTGCGTGTTAAACAACAGAGACACAGATACGCACGCACGGGTCCACACGCGCGCACACGCACCGGACAAAGAGGGGCTGCCAGGATCTTTGGTTTAGCTTGCTTTTGGGCCGCCAAATGGGAGCGGATTGGTAATCGGATGGGAGACCACCAGGAGAGCCATAGGCTCAGCCAGGTGAAGCATCCACCTTGGACAAGGTAAGTGATTTAGGTAAGTTCACAAAATCCACCCCGGGATCCAGTCCGCCTCCAGGGAGCCTTGTCCCAGCAGGCAGGAGTAGCACCTAAGGAGGGTCAGGATGGATGGGAGGCTACTAGGAGAGCCTAGTAGTGGGGCTGCATGCTTGAAAAATAGCCCAGAAACTGCCCTGGGGAGCCTTTTCTGACTTTTTTTCCCCCTAAGGAACCCCACAGAGAAACCCATAAAGTCAGGAACTGCAGTTGAATCTGAGTGCAAGGACATCTACTTTGCTTTCCCTGCTTTGGGGAGGGGGTGGTGGAAATGGGGGGGCACCCCCCTCCTCTTCACCCTAAATAGAAAGATGGCAAACGGTAACTGGTCAATTATCTCGATTTTGCAAAGTTGTCATGTGGTTCATACCAGGGTGGGCATTATCGATTTGGCATGATCAAGCTAATAAAAGCAATTTGAACTGCTTGAATTCACTCTAGACAGCCTGGGCTTTTTTCAAAAAAGAAAAAGAAAAAAACCC